CACACACACCCCCACTGAGTCTTTTGTATTTTACTGTCATGAACACTAGTCTAGTTCAAGTGCATCCAGAGAGCTAAGCACGACGACATGTACTGTCGAACAACTGTGTAATGATATTTTGATTTTCAGGGCATGCCTGGTAATGGCACAGCTCTTGGAGGACAGTTCCTTTTGTGAAGAGTTCATCCAGCAATGTCCTGCAGCTGTGGAGGTGCTCAACCTGGTTGCTCAAGAATGTAGTCCTGGTAAGAAAATGTTACACTGTACACCCTACAACTTAAAGACAATAGGTCTGAATGTTTGTCCTCTCTCGATGTTTGTAGGAGAGCGTCTTGGTATCGTTGAGGCGCAGTGTGAAAGAGTGCGAATGCTATACAGAGACTGTGCTCGTCCACCTCCGCCACCCCTTCAGACAGACAGACGCCAGGTGGAGTTAACATGTTTATAAATTTGCAAATTACAATCAAATATTCTGCATCTTTTTAAATACAAAAATAATCAATGGCAACTGTCGTTGACTGTTGAACAATTGCTGAGAGTTGATTTTTTTCATGCCTATTGCCCTTCTATTACTACTTTTTTGGAGAGAATATCATAAGTACATTCAATTCTAAAAACATTTTCATGCAAAGCTTTGAAACAATGTGACACTGTTTGCAACCATTTCCATCCATTATGCCTCACCAGCCCAAGGAAATCACCTGGTGTCCCTCCCGAGTGTTCCCTCCAGTCCGGGCCTGCATGTTCTCATCTCGTCTTACCTCTGTCACTTTCTTGGCTGACCCGAGTGCTGGAGGAGGGCTCCCCCGGGGCACCTTCATTTATGCCACCTCTCCTGTGCCAATTCAGGTTGATCGTTTGTTACATCGTTGATGGGAATTTCTTTTCACCCTCTGACCTTCGACAATTTTTTAATGTCTTTTTTTTTTTTTTTACCCTTACAGGCACCTTCTTTTTACTGGGAGATAGAAGTTGTCTCCTATGGAGACTCTGAAGAGGATAGTGGCCCCATTGTGTCCTTTGGTTTTGCCACTGAGGCTGAAAAGAGAGACGGAGCATGGACCAACCCTGTTGGCACGTGTCTGTTTCACAAGTCAGTAGACTTTTATTTATTTTTCATTGATGTTCTATCTTCAGTAAAAGTGCTGTTTGATATCCATTTTTGTTGTTCCAACTGTTTGTCCTCCTGTTTCTTTGTGGCAGTAATGGAAGGGCAGTGCATTACAATGGCTCGAGTCTATTGCAGTGGAAAAGTGTCAGGCTAGATGTTTCTCTTCTTCCTGGTGAGAGGGATTATGTTTTTTGTTTTGCTTGTATTTTATTACTGCACAAAATTTCTTTGAGCAAAAGTTTCTTATAGAACATTCACTAATGCTTCAGTTAAAGGTTATGGTTACTGTTTAACATTATGTAATTACTGTCGTCCCGCTGCATTTACATTAACACAGGTGATGTGGCTGGAATAGGCTGGGAGCGTTCAGAAGGTACACCTCCACCTCCTGGTCAGGCCCCAAAGGGACGGGTCTATTTCACCTATTGTGGTCAAAGGCTCAGTCCAGTCCTTGAGGAGGTGGCAGGTGGAATGTGGCCCTTGGTTCACATTCAAAAGAAGGTATGCTGATTAAAGTGAAATGTCTTTCAACGGCACAATTTTTCTGCAGTAATTACAAAGGAAAAAAAAACATTGTTTTGTAGAATTCAAAGATTCGGGCCAACTTTGGAAACCGTGCATTTGCATACGCTGAAGGCCAAGCACACAGGAATGCTGCAGACTTGTGCATTGACCTTGCAGAAGAAATAAGTGCAAATTTTGAAGCGCTCCCCTTTGCCATGGCTTCAGACAGTGATAATGATGCAGGCGCAAGTGTTACATCTGACTCAGGCTCCCATGGACCCCCCTGTCGGATTGCAGCAGTGGCGGTCCTTCAGCAACGTACATACAAATGTTTTTTTGTTTTTTTTAATCTAGCCCTTAGCTATGCATGTCTCTTTCTTTTCATAGAGATCACTCTCTGACAACTGACTGACAACATTAATATAACTTTTGTCATTTTCTCTCCGTCTCTTTCAGAATACAACAGTGACCTGTCCTGCCATTACAAGGTGGAACTGAGCTATGAGAACCTCGTTACTTCGGGGCCTGATCCACACCCTCCACCTATTGCAGATGATGAGAGTGACGATGAGGATGATGATGATGCCCCCAGGGTAAGTGGGCTCTTTATCATCTCGGGACAGTGTCACCGTTTATCCTTCTTTGTTTCACGATTCCATTCAAAACTCAGGAGGACCACTACGCCTTGCTGGTAAAGGCGTGGGAAACCAAAGTGTTCCCCACCATTAGAAGGAGGTTCCGTAATGAAGCTGAGAGGAAATCTGGTTTGGACCAAATCAAAGGAGCCCTGCAGTTAGGTAAGAAGAATACCTATATCCAGTCAAACATATGTAGAAATATCTTAAGACAGCTCTGGGAGCGTTGAGCCGATGGTGTGTTGAAATGGCAACAGGCATGGTCGACATTGCAAGACAGACAGTGGAGTTCTTGTATGAGGAGAATGGCGGCATTCCTCGAGACCTATACCTCCCCACCATAGAAGACATCAAAGATGAAGCCAACAAATTCACTATTGATAAAGTTCGCAAAGGTAGCATTACATGTACATTATTACTACTCATACTTGGCATTAAGCTTTCAAGTTCTTTATTACTACTACTAATGCTATGTAGTAGTATTTTATTTTACCTCCTATTGTGTATCTTATAATAGGTTTGACTGTGGTCATCCGCTGTACGGACAGCAACAATACCAATAGCACTACAGGGGGGACAGCACTGCCCAAGTTTGCCATCCGGGGCATGTTGAAGACTTTTGGCTTGCATGGAGTAGTGTTGGATGTTGACTCTGTAAGTGCAATATGTTTCATTGCATTGTGCCACTACCGGCTTAGATTTTGCTTGATTTTGTGTTTGGTTCCTCCCCCCCTCTAGCTGAATGAGCTTGTCCAGGTGGAAACCTACCTTCGCAGTGAGGGCGTGCTGGTGAGGTACTGGTACCCTATTGAAATTCTGGAGCGGCCGCCTGCTGGATCTCGACGTACTGCAGCCAGTGGCTTAGTCTCTTTAGACAGCAGCAACATTCAGATTCACAGGTATGTTTTGACCTTACTAGCACAGAAATGCATGCTACCATTGTATTGATTTTTCTTTTTTTCATTTTTCACAGGGAGCTACTTCGCTCTGAGAGTGCACTGGCTCGTTTATATTGCCGAATGGCCCTACTGAACATCTATGCCCCGAAAAATCCCCACACATTCACTCGTCTCTTCCACATACCTGCGATCCGAGACATCACCTTGGAACACCTACAACTTTTGTCTAATCAGCTGCTGGCTCCACCCCTCCCTGGTGAGTGGTAAAATCATGTCGAAATAAGCACATCTTTGTCTGTGGGACCCTCTTCCTACCGCCTTTAACATTCATCTTCCTACAGATGGCACTATTAGTTCTGGTTCGATCCTCCTGGCCCAGTCTGTGCTTCACAACCTTCAAGACCAAAGTTGCTCTCCCACAGACCTATTTTACCAGGGCAATTCTCAACCCATCCGAGAGTGGCTAACTGTGGCCATCACTCGTGCCTTGCATCAAGGAGAGGAAAGCTTACTTGAGCTAACTAAACAGATCTGCTGTTTCCTTCAGGTTTGCTCTCCCCATCAATGATTCAAATAACTTGACTAAATCCGGGCTAACGTTAAATGAAAGGTTGTTGTTTACAGCATGCACCAGAGCAGTTTACATCTGAGGAGTTCCCTGTAACAGAGTCAAAAGTGAGCATGGATGTCAGTTTTCCAGGGGCCGCATTTGTGATCGTATCTTGCAAAGAGAGCCAACTTGGCTGCCGCAAAGAGTAAGATAACTGCCGATGTATTTTTTTTCATCAAATCACGACGAACCTTGTTTATTATATTCTGCTAATAATGTGAAACGTCCCCCCCCCCTGCCCCCAATTAGCTCTAGCCTGTACAAGGCTCCCTGGGCACGGGTGATGCTGTATGGTCTGGGTCACAAAGTTCACCGAAATGGGCAGCTTAATCTGATGGAAGCTGTGTGCTATCCTTTGGATGCCTCACCTGCCAACACAGGCCTTACTCCCCCGCCTACCACCAACCAATATCCCTCTGTTATCATCCCCACTGATAAAGTGCACATCAAGCTGGGTATGTACTCACTAAATTACGCCTTTGTATATAATTTGTGGGTATGTTGAATCATTCATTGGATACTATTGTCTTGATTGTAGGTGTGTCGCCCCCTCCTGGTGCTGTAGTAGTTCTACATTCCCTGCCTCTGGAGTTTCCTCTGGCCATGGCATTCGCCGAGCAGCTGTTGACATGGAAGTTGGGAGAGAGTAGTGAGCGGTCAGAAGACGAGCTCGACACAGTGCCGTCGTCTGTACTGCTGCAAGTGGTGGAACTGCTCGGTAGGTGACATACTTTGAACACTTATGCAGATCCTCACTCAAATTTTGTGTGCTCATGAACCACCCGTACTAACACTTGTGGTGGTGATCATAGTCACAAATATGATGTGAAAGCATAATTCCCTAAATGGAGACACTCATACGAGGAATGTAAAGATCTTCAAATATCAACCACAAAAAGGCATATCATTACAGAGCCTGCATCATTGCTGCAAGTAGGCTTGCATTGTTGTACATAACCAACTTTCAATGTTTTCTGTGTTGGCCTGTGTTTTATGGATTAGGTGGTTTACTTTGGACTACAGATTTGGCTCCCTCCATCAAAGAACTGATTTTTCACTTGCTGGCTGAGCTCTTGCGTAAGATTCACCACTTGGAGCAGCGTAAAAGCCCTTCTGGCTTGTCCAGCTCGATCGCTCTGCTGCTTAACCCCTGCCTCGCAGTACTCATGGCCCTGCAGACAGAACTCCGTAAGCTCTACGATCGTGAAACTCAGAGCTGGACTGCCGGAGGAGCTGGGGCTGGGGGATCTTCATCTGGAGGTGTTGCTTTGGCATTGGCAGCAGAGCAGAGTCGGTTCTCCACCTACTTCCACGCTCTGATGGAGGTCTGTCTCGCTGTGGCAGAGGTGACACTGCCTCTCAATGTTGGAGGTTCCACAGTTGGAACTCTGACCTCCACCAGTGCCCCGAACCTGAGTGATTCTTCGTCGTCGTCATCATCATCCCCTGGCCAGACCCCACAGAGTCCCAGCCTGCTGTCCAAACGTAAGAAGGTAAAGATGAAGCGCGAGAGAGCAGCGGCTGCAGTGGCTGCAGTGGTCTCCGGTAAAAGGGGGAGTGGAGGTGCCCGTCTGTCAGAGAGTGACAGTGCCCTGCTGAACATGGCGGGTAGCAAACCTGAAGACATGCTGTGGTTCCACCGCTGCCTCACTCTTCTGATGATTCTTAGACATCTTGCAAATAAGGATCCCCAGGGTTTGAGTGTGACAAGTGATGCAGTGACAGACGCTTGCCAAGCTTTGGTGGGTCCGACAGCCCACAGCCGCCTTTTGGTGCTTTCGGGTATCCCTACACACCTGGAAGAGGCAGTGGTTCGTAATGCTATCCGTCGGGCTTGCAATGCGCACGGAGGGCTTTTCAAAGATGAAGTGTACATACCTCTGCAGGAAGAGGACCCTAAGAAAACTAAAACAGGGGCTCGAGTCGCAAGCCCTCAGGCTGGCAAAGTGAGCACTGAGTCTGAGCGCCCTTTCCCCCACGGTGGAGGTCCTGAGAGTCCTGACAGCTCCAGCAGCGTTACCCCAGCTCTTAGTGTGAGCGCATCAGCTTCGACCAGCCAGACCTCCATTTGCAGCTCCTCGCAGGGACGCTCTCGCACCGCCAGTGAACTTTCTGTCGATCAGGAACAATTAGCTGTCCCCACTGTCAACTCCGCCGCAGCAGCGTCTGCTGGAAACCACCCCCAGCAGGGCTCCCAAGAACCACAGACTGTTTCTAGTCAGGAGAGTCTAGATACTTCTCTTTGTAGCACAGGAAGCTTGGGGAGTCTTGGCAGCTTAGGGGAGCCTGTGGAAAGTGCGGAGACACCGTCGGTGTCAGACGGAGGCTCTGTGCATACGGTCACCTCGCAGGAGAGCAATGCAGTCCTGGCGAGGCCAATCAAAGGTTATGCTGTCATTGAGGTGAGCTAAATACCTTTGTGTTATAAAAGAAATATCTTTGTTTTTATTCTGTGTTTAATTCTCCGTTTTGCTTATTCCTTTATTATTAATTCCAGGTGCGTTCTCGAGCCAAAGTGGAAAAAATACGTGCCAGTCTCTTTAACAGCAGTGACCTGATTGGTTTGTCCAGTCTGGAAGGTGAAGAGGAGCTAATGGAGTTGACCAACGAGGAGATCCTCACAGCCTCAAGCGTTAACCAAAGTCTGTTTGACACTCAGGGAAGCTCTGCTCTGGAAGACTATTTTCTGGACAAATCCATTCGAGGTTTGTATCTGACCATGAATAGTTACGCTTTGCAACATTATTTGTCATGGTGTAATGTTCATTCATCTCTTTTCCAAGGTGACAAGCTTGTTCCCGGAGCTCGAGACGTTCTTATGGATATTTTTAAGAGTTGTATGCACTCGGAACAAATGCTCAGCCTCACACCTGCCAAGCCAGTGAAAGTGTCTGATATTTACCTCAGCAAAGAGCAAATCAACTCTCAGACCCCTGGCAATCTATTGCACACCTTCTTTACCAATGTACGGCCTCCTAAGAAAGTACTTGAAGACCAACTCACTCAGGTAAATTACCATATGCAGGAAATCTTGAATATGCTGGACTATTGAAAAGCATTTTGAAAGTGTAGCCGCATCTCTACCCCAAATGTTAATATTCTTGCTCCAGCGCCTCAAAGTAACAAGTCTCTGCATTTGATCACGGTTGTAAATATGAATTGTTTTCAACCAGATTCTAAGAAAGTATGGCATTCCCAAACCCAATAAAAACAAATACAGCAAGGTGGGAAAAGAACAGCATCAAGGCAAGGTAGTAAGTACCAAGAGGCCAATCACCAAACCTCCCACTAAGGAAAAGTCTGTGCTTAACAGTGTAAGGTAAGAGTGCATGATGTACATTTTTCCTGAGCGTTTAGTTCATGAGTGCTTTTGGGAATTTCAAATGGAATGTGTTGTTCACTATCTCTGCTAGGACTGCACTCAGTGAGAAAAAGACAGTGCTTAAACCCAAATCTCCAGAGAAATCCAGACCTGATGAGAAAGATGTGGAAAAGTCTCCTGCTAAAAAACTTGAAGGTTCTTCAATAATCGAAACACAATAAAATACCACAGACAATGCATAACTTGACATATCCGTAACGCGACATCCTGCAGAATGAATATTTGGTGTCATAGTGATCTTCAACCTTTCACATTCAGAGTGAAACTTGTTTGAAATTGAAATATGAATACTGTTTGTTTTAGAGCACTTATGTTTCGGTTGATTTTTAGGAAATGCTGAGCTGCCTCTCACACGCGTTTCTTTTCTATAGTCTCAGAGGAGAAGTACCTGACATTGGAGGGCTTCCATAGGTTTGCGGTTGACCGAGCCAAGCAGGACATCCGCAGCATCTGGAGGGCAATTTTGGCATGTGGCTATGACCTCCACTTTGAAAGGTGAGACCGGCAATGTCAGACCCCTCTTAACACGGCCCGGTCTGACGTAATGTCTAGACTGTCACATGCTGGCTTCCCAGAACATAGTATACATGTTCGATAAATACACACAGTATTTATTTATGCAGTCTCTTGGATTATAATGTAAATGTGTATCCTGCTTTTCAGTACCTTGTAATTTATTAATATGCATTTATAGTCTTTGGATAATGATCCAACAATGTTACCGGTAATCTTTATCTTCATCAGGTGCACCTGTGTAGATACACGGCATGCCCAGAAGACTTGTAGGAAGTGGACTTTAGAAATGGACTTTGCGTTGGTCCAGTACATCAATAGGCTGTGTCGTCACCTTGCTATCACACCAGCCCGACTACATCCCCACGAAGTCTACCTGGAGCCCAGTGATTGTGTTGATCCACGTGTGGCCTGCCTGCTTAGTTAGTAACACACTTCAACATCTGTATCTTTCCCCAGGTACTTACTCTGTAAGTGACTCAAGTAAATAAATAGTTCTAACAACCTTTTGCATGTGTTTTGAAGATGTGTCTGTAGAGAGCTTGCGCTTGCGTTTTGCTCTGCTCCAGTCGCTCAACAACACACTGGAGAGTTTCTTCCTGCCACTGGTGGAGCTAAGACAGACGTGCACTTATCAGAACAGCATTGCGACCTTGTTATGTGAGGCGAAAGGTGAGCTGGACCTTGGTACTTTTAGCAGATGATAGTGATGGAAGCCCCTTTGTGTTCCGTCCATAGCTATCATCGCTAATAATTTTTCTTCCCAAATGTCCTCTTTTAACTCACACTTGATTCTTTTTTTTTTTTTTTTTTTTTTTTTTGCTGGCAGGACTGATTTACTATGACACTAAAGTCTCTGTAATGAACAGAGTACTGAATGCCACAGTACAGCGAACAGCCGACCATGCAGCTCCAGAGATTACATTGGACCCTCTTGAGATTGTGGGAGGTAGAGACTATTTCAATTTGTAGTACAACTTCATATTGTATGTGCTGTATCTTTACTGACATCCTGTTGATGTCCTGCAGGTGAAATTCGATCTTCAGAAAACACGTACTTCTGCCAGGCTGCACGTCAGCTTGCATGCATGCCGTCGTCACAGCTTTGCGTGAAACTAGCCAGCGGAGGGGACCCAACCTACGCTTTCAACATCCGTTTCACCGGCGAGGAAGTTCACGGCACCAGTTGGATAATCTACTTTTTACTTACAACAGATCGACTGTGACAATAGCTATAGCAGATTACAGCACCTGTGTTTCTGTCCGATTAGGTGGTTCCTTCAGACACTTCCTCTGGCAGGTATGCAAGGAGTTACAGAGTTCCGCTCTTTCTCTGCTGCTGCCTTGTCCCAGTGCTGCAGCCAACCGTAACAAGGTAATGCCCACGGTCTGTGGAGTATTTCCTATGCTGTTTAAAAAAAAACAAACAAAAAAACATTATATGATACATACATTAGATTAGCTTTAACTGAGAAGGGCATGTGCCGTAATTAAATAGCATGTACAGTATATACAATGGATAAGGCATGGATATCCATGTCAGCATGAGTGTATATTTTTACAGGTATGCACAGGGAAATGAATTGTGATATGAATGTACAGTAGTGCAAATGCAGTACATTAGTGCAAATGTATAATTGAGGTTGTGTAGTTTATTCAATCCAAGAAGGGTGTGTGTGGGTTAGGGTGGTCCACATTTTCATGGCAAAAAAAAAAGTTTGTCGGATTCGTCGGGCCGGGTCGGAATTCTTGTCGATACTATGGTACAAGGTTCTGTGCAAAATTTCATTCCGATCTGATGATATTTTCCCGTCCCGCAAAGCGGCCAAAGTTTCCACCATAACAACTGGTCTCAATAGGGTGAACATGTGTATTTTAACCGTGTATTTTGCCATGCGTGACACTGGCTGGGCTGAATGTTGCCCGAACGATCACCTCCTGACTAACTAACCCTTCCATCGCTGCTCTCAGCAGCCGGAGACAAACTCAAACGCACGCCTAACACACAACGGTCACCTACTGGCGAGCTAATATCTTTCAATTGAAGTCGAGAATCGCCGGAATTCTTACTGGACGCTGAGCTGAGGACGCTTTTCGACATCGAACGCGCGGACACCTTGGAGCTAATCAAGAGAAGAACCCGCCTCGCCGTGCCCACGTCGCCCTCGAGGCAGTGGAGCAGCGTTCGCTGGCGTCGTTTGCGACGACCAACTCTGTCGGCCTCATCACCGCCCTCGGAGCCGGCCACGATTTCCTCAACGTCGATCCGGCCGAGTGGTCGGAGAGGGACGACTTCACCACGGCTCGTCGGCGCGCTCGTCACCTACGGGTGGTGAACGACTTTGCGGAGAGGGGCGTCGCCCTCATCAGCGCGTTCTGCGGCGCCATCACGCGCGACGAGGAACAGCGACAGCACCTTCTGCAGGTCGTGGAGCGACACCGGGCGTTGCACCCGTGCGCGAAGTAGGCATGGGATGGCACGCACGGGCGGATTTCGTTTTTTTTTGCGGTCTAACAGTGTCACTAGTGTTGATGGACATTATAGACAGATGGACAGATGGACCAGTTAACATGGACCAACAATCTCACCAGTGTTGCAGGATAACCACGGTTGCCTTTTTTGCAAAACATGCGTTCCTGTCTTCCGTCTTTGAATTATTGCAAGTGCGAACTGAGCAAAACAAAATCCTTACTGTACGGGAGAAACCGTACTACCATTCAGCCCCGTAAGATTCTTTCCATAGGGGAAACTTTGGTCGCTCTGCGGGACGGGATAAAATTATCCGATCGGAATAAAATTTTGCACACATCCTTGTGTCATAGTATCGACAAGATTTCCGACCCGGCCCGACGAATCCGACAAACTTTTCCAAAATGGACCACCCTAGTGTGGGTGCCTGTGCATGTGGGTGTTTGGGGCACGGGGGCTGTAAATGTCAGTTATACCTCAGTGTCCCTTTTATATCAGCTTGGTCCATAAATCATTTATATCGGGGTAATAATAATTATTAATTTTTTTTTGCTTAGGGAAAGTACATCCTGACACCATGTCCTATCAGCTATGCAGAGGAGCAGTTGTTACACTTTTTTGGTCAGCTACTGGGCATCGCCATCCGTGCAGATGTGCCCCTTCCTTTGGACCTCCTGAGCTCTTTTTGGAAAGGTCTGGTGGGCGAGGCCCTCGACCCAGAGCAGGACCTACAGGAAGCAGATATGCTCACGTACAATTATGTCAAGAAGTTTGAAAATGTAAGAAATAGTACCTGTCCTCTTAATTTGTGTCAATCTCCTTTCGCCAGTTTAACTGTTAGCGGCAGTTCCGTCTCATAATGTCTCAACTGTTTGCGCTGTGTAGGTGAATGATGATGCTGAGCTGGAGGCACTCTGTGCTGAGATTTCCTCCCAGCACCATTCGGGCGAGAGTCCCGACACTCCCAGCAGGCCCTGCTGTACCTTTACCTACATCACCATGACTGGTGAGGAGGTGGAGCTTTGTCAAGGAGGGCGGAACCTCACTGTCAGGTGATTGTTGGGAGATATATTTTTTGCGTGTTAAATGAACAGTTTAACTCACTGTACTGTGTTTGGTTTACATATCCTGAATGTTCTTGTGTTTGTAGCTGGGAGAATAAGAATGTGTACGCACGGGCAGTACAGGGCCTTCGTTTGAGGGAGCTGCAGAATGTTGAGTGCATGACAGCGGTGCGTGCGGGGTTGGCGTCCATAATTCCCCTGCAGCTACTAACCATGCTCAGCCCACTGGAGATGGAGCTGAGGACCTGTGGCTTGCCCTACATTAACCTGGAATTCCTCAAGGTTTACCAGTCTTACATGCTATATTAGTCAAATAATGTTAATGGATCAGTGGCAGTTTGTATTCCTGATCACATTTTACCTTTTTTGATAGGCTCACACCATGTATCAGGTGGGTCTGATGGAAACGGACCAGCACATTGAGTTCTTCTGGACCGCTCTGGAGATGTTCACTCAGGAGGAGCTTTGCAAGTTCATCAAGTTTGCCTGCAACCAGGAACGTATCCCCTTCACTTGTCCCTGCAAGGACGGAGGACCCGATACGGCCCACGTCCCTCCATACCCCATGAAGATTGCTCCACCTGATGGAGCAGCAGGTAACGGTGATCAGCATCGTTGTCATTTAACAAGGAGGCTGTTGTTGCTGAATGACACTCTTTTTAGTTCAGTGGTAGCTTCTCATCTTGTCATCTTTGAATTTGACACGATCTTTGCTGAAAGTAGTGCAGACAAACTGCAACTCCTTATCACTTGCCGTAGATGTCCTAATGGAATCCAAGCATCGATGTTGTGGTAGTTATAAACCTGAAGACACCATCAGTGGTATAACGGAATGCTACACTGATGGTGCATAACTCTATTCTGACTTTCCTGTGCAGTGGTGCCTTAAGATATGAGTGACTTAACTTGAATATTTTGGGGGAGTTTAAAAAAAGCATATATATATATATAAAAGAATATGTACTAAAATAACGATGACCATGTCAATGTCCTTAAAAATGTACTTAAAGTGGTATGTAAGAGTGAAATTAGGGATGTTTGTTTGGAGATGATGTTTGACTTTGCTTGATTAGAACCCTGGTATTGTATACCCCCCCCCCCCCCCACACACACACATATACACACACACATCAAGCCAAACAGATTCAGCTTGGATGGATCCCCAGTAAAAGTAAATCAAAGGATAGTAACTTGCATTGTATAGCCTCATGCTACCTGTGAGTCAAGTATTAATCCATGACGAAACACTGCTGTCTCACTTGAAGTGTTATTGTGGTGTATAAATGGCCACAGGTTAATTGTGCCGTACTTTCTGCCATTTGGGGGAAGAGCATTTAATTGTCCTGCCTGTCACTATACGTCACTGGCATAGGTAGATGAACAAAGACGTATTCTTTGTAGTGTAAAAAAAATATATACCGTATTTTTCGGATTATAGGTCGCTCCGGATTATAAATCGCGCCAGCCAAAAAATGCATAATTAAGAAGGAAAAAACATACATAAGCCGCACTGGAGTATAAGTCGCATTTTTGAGGGAAATTTATTTGATAAAATCCAACACAAAAAACATACGTCATCTTGAAAGGCAATTTAAAATAAAAATAAAACTAGAGAACAACAGGCTGAATAAGTGTACGATATGCTAACGTTACATGACGCTCAACCCTGGAGAACCCATGGGGTCAAATTTGGCCCCTATAAATTCTGCTACTCAATTGCTACCCTTAAATCCCAAAGGGTCAAATTTGGCCCTAATCCTAAATTAGGATTAAAGCATTGAATATTTGAAAAAATATATATTTTGGTGTTCAGTGAACATATAGCAGTCATTTAATGTATAATTCATAATTTTCCAAAGAAGAAAAAAAGGGTTCTTGGGTTCTCCAGGGTTTTAAACAACGAACTGTGAATGTGCCTGGTATGTTCACGTAACATATTAAGAGTTATTTAGACAACTATAGCACAAAGAATATGCTCACAAATTTACCAAACCATCTGCATCACTCCGAATCACGAAATCCAATGAAATCTTCATGCTCGATGTCACTTTTAAACAACTCCGCCAACTCCGGAGGTAGAACATGCAGCGCTTCCTCTTCTATGTCGCTTACGTCAGAGTCATCGTCAGTTGTTTTTCTTAGTTACCGCCAACGTGGAAAGTATCAACACAGGCCGAGAGCACCCTCTTGCAGTTTAATGTGAAAATAACGTGATGTGTACAATGTGTGAACCATTTCACACACATCTCATCTCCATAGTCCAGAGTATAAGTCGCACCCCCGGCCAAACTATGAAAAAAACTGTGATTTATAGTCCGGAAAATACGGTAGATATATGAATATATATATTAAATCCCACGGCACACCTGATGATTTCACACGACACACTAATGTGCAACGCCACGTTGCCTGGTAATTACTGGTTTATATTATACTTTACATAAGTTGTATAGTCAGCGATTGTATCATATCTTCTTTCTATGCATGGCAGGTCAGCCGGACGCTCGCTACATCCGCGTGGAGACCTGTATGTTTATGGTCAAACTGCCTCAGTACACTTCTTTGGACGTGATGCTGGAGAAACTACGCTACGCCATTCACTACCGCGAGGACCCGCTCAGTGGCTAAGACTTGATGACCAAACTATGAAAAAAACTGTGATTTATAGTCCGGAAAATACGGTAGATATATGAATATATATATTAAATCCCACGGCACACCTGATGATTTCACACGACACACTAATGTGCAACGCCACGTTGCCTGGTAATTGCTGGTTTATATTATACTTTACATAAGTTGTATAGTCAGCGATTGTATCATATCTTCTTTCTATGCATGGCAGGTCAGCCGGACGCTCGCTACATCCGCGTGGAGACCTGTATGTTTATGGTCAAACTGCCTCAGTACACTTCTTTGGACGTGATGCTGGAGAAACTACCCTCCGCCATTCACTACCGCGAGGACCCGCTCAGTGGCTAAGACTTGATGACCCCCCCCCTCCCCCCTTTCATGAACCTCCTGACTCGCTCCATCCATCACCCGCACCCTGCAGTCTGCCTCAGAGATTTGCCTCTGATCTGCTCTATTCAAGTCACGATTTGATTTCATTAGCTTTTAATGCTTTGCATGTTGACCCCCGACTTTGTTCTTGACGTTCTCTTCATGATTCGTTTTTACTCCGTTTTTGCTGATACCCGGGACGATCATCACTAAACTCCTACACATTTGATGAGCATCTGTTCCCGTCGCAGTGAGTGAAACAACTATTACACTGGTTAATGATCATTCCCCAGAGCTTTTCGATTAATATACAACCTGACTCTAATGTATGTGCTGAAACCACTGCAGTGAGACAAGTTGGGAGCGTAGCGCTAAAAATTTAATCAGTGCAAAGGCTTCCATCCAAATTGCAAATGCGTTACCCAGCTGCCGCCTCCTGCGTTCCATCAGCGGGGACATGTTGTGAAACACGCCTTTACACTGAAATGAAAGCCCGAGTGAAGCTGCAAACACAAAATTATTGGAGTTGGTTTGACGTATGAAAGAGGAATCGTGTTGTGTGGGCTATAATGAAGTTACTGATTACAAAAAATAAAAGAATGGACAAATGTATGGCGATAAAACCTGAACCAATCTTACTAAGACTCTGAAGAGATGGTATTTAAGTAATCGTTCCACCTGAATAAGAGAATAATTCATTTTCCAGCTTTGGCATCATGGGGGTCCCATCGACTCTTGTCCCACAAGTTGCTTTGGCGTTGAACGGTACGAGTTGTGTTGTGAGACAGGAGGGGGGGAGACCTTGTTCTCATGAGCAGCCCCTCCCACCTGTGTGCTTTCGCTACTGAATGTGAAACAACCCCACTCCCTCTCCCCAACATGCACAATCTACACTCATACACTTGCTGGTGGTTGGGGGAGGGGGCAGTAAGTTTGCTTCAGTTTTGCCTTGTAACCGTTTTCTTTCATGGAAGAACAAGATTTTTTTTGTTGTTGTTTGTTTGTTTTTAAGACCCATATCCAAATGTTTATTTGTGTAAAAATATCTAATGTAAATAGACTGTTATGTTTGAGTGCGGTTTTTATTCATTGCTATTTCACCTTTTGTTTTGGTTTGCACTATTCTTCCAAGAAAAGATTCTTTAAAAAAAAAAACCAAACAAACAAAAAACGATGTGATGTCTGTTGGATATCGAGTTTGCTGTGGTCTTATTTTATTCTTTTTTGAGAAATCACTTGTCTCATACTCGGACGGATTCATTTTCTACAGCTCATGGTGCAACATGTTTTCTTGTGCGAGTAAAACAATTTGACCCGATCAAAGCAAATAACACGACAGAACTGATATGTGACACATTGCCTTGTTGACATGCCAGAGACTTCAGTTTTGATTATGTTTTTTGAGAGTGGAATATACCGCTGCTATTGGGGACGCTCTTGCTTCTACTCCCCCCCAAGGGGGAATTAGATGGGCGACGTAAAGGACTGTCATAGGAGGGGGAGTTGAGATAAAATGTGCTGTACATTTACTTGATATTTATTACAATTATTTATGGTTCCATTAACTTAACTTTTACTGTCTTACCTCTGCACATTGGAAAGTTAACATCTAAAATGGATTATACATACAGATGTAAAGAATCATGGCATTTGAGATTTCTGTGTCACAATAAAGACGTCTTCATGTACAAACATTGTGACTTCTTTCCTGCTCTGTTGAACTTGAAACCTCACCGCCGACTGGGGCTCCGTCAGTGGGTTTTGCTACGCATAATAAATTGGGTTGTTCTTCAGAGCATCATGGACGCTGCTCACGTGGGAAACATGTTTTGTCCACTATATGCCATGCTTTTTTTTTTTTTTGAAATGTATGGCCCCTTGACTGGCTTGTGTTACATCACTCGTAACCCTTGTATACCAGACACCTTTACAGTGCCGCATACTAGAGCAGACCAGTTCGTGCTGGATCTCATTCATGTACTCAGCAGTCTCCTTTGGTATGTTCAGTGCCATTCATTCCCATAGACTAAAGGGCTTACATAATTTATACATTCATTTATACAAAGTGCAATGTCAGCTTCTCGTTCCATTCCACAGCCTAGCCATTGCCTACGAGCATTGGTGGTGTATAACAGATGTATCATGTTGAGTTTAGTGAGTCTCATGAGTCATGTTTTAAAAAAAAAATTAAAAAAGGCCAACGGTAGGCTGTCACATTTCATTCAAATAGGCCTCACCCACTGACCAATGACAAGTCAGGAAATGGACCACATCCTTAATCCATCGGCCTATCCAACCAGCACCAGTTGAGTGTAAAATTACAGTGTGTCATGAAACATGCCACTGACCCATAGAGATCTTCTGTTGCATGCCATGTGCGTGTTACGTCACCGAGGTATGTGTCAGCTGCAGAGTGAGATCTTTCTTTGCAACATGTACACTGTGCGGTACACTATGTACTGTTTCGCTTGTGGTAAGTGTGACATATACACCAACCTCATTGTCTTTGTCTTATTTGTCCATAACAACAGTTGTGAGCTGCCCTAAAGCTGGTGTAAAATGAAAACAAATATTCAATCATACATGACTTTCTTTTTTAAAACTGCTACTTCAGTCTGAAATATACAAATCAAATATCATTTGGAGTTGTTTGACCTTTGAAACTACAATATGTTTACACAACACGTTTTCAAATTGATAAGAGTATTGATTTTCATAGACTATTTTCCAATGAGTATTTCTCCATTTATCCATCCATCCATCATCCATCCATTTGGATTTGAATTGCGGGTGCTCAGTTTTCCTAAACCATTCATATTAAAAAGCCATAGGACAGAAAAGAATGCTATACATTTTTACAACTCTGTAAAAATAGATATCATATTGAATTTTTGGGGGGTTGAATTTTTGTAAAATTTAAACACCAAAAGAAATTATGGTAAAATATTCAAGTTAAATTACTTTACTATGCTAGTACTTAGTTTACTAAGTACATAATACAACACGACAGGTAATTAGTAGCTGTATCAGAATGCATTTAAAAAAATAGCCCTCCCAAACGTGATAGCGACACACTTATCATTACAGTTGCAAGGCACACTTGAAAGAAAGCGTAAAGGATGCTTTGGATAAGGAAAATGTACGTTATCTGGTGGGCAAATATAACATTGGAGAAATGAAAACCAGTCCAATTGTTACTATTTATGTAATAATAAATGTGTGTGTGCGTGTGTGTGTGTGTGCGCGCGCGCACGTGCGTGCGTGCGTGAGAGAGAGAGAGCGAGAGAGAGAGAAAGAGAGAGTGGCAGTGGTAGTTGTTATTTTTCAATTCCTCAAGTCATCATCAAGAAATGAAGGATGTAATATTCAGAAATATAATTTATTCATTCATTAGAGTACAAAAACAAGCACAGATCTATTGATTTTGTTTTCCTACAGTGGTTCCAATTATATTTTAAGACAACACCCTTTCTGCAACGTAGCTCTACATCTCTCAGTCCCTGTGCTCACTAAGTATTTCACAGTCTGGAATGATTTGGTCTCTGGAGCATATGGAAAATGGAACAGTTTTTGCGAGGAGATGATGGATAGGCAGGAAGGGGGAAAAAAAAAGACACTAAAAAGAAGCGAGGCAACGCTAGAGAATACCAAGTTGTTTTTTCAACCTCCGTAGCTGCTCCATGCTGATGTTGTTGCCTCCGCACACAACAAGGACCACAGGACCCAGCTGCCTCTCCAGCTTGCCCTCATCCTGCAGCCTTTTGATGACATCACTGTACACCGCCGCGAGAGCAGCACCACACGCGGGTTCCACCAGAATCTTCTCATCATCTGCACATGGAGGAACCCACAGAAGAGGTCAATGTCACGTCTGTTTTTGATTTTGAACCAATCGGGTATAGTTGGTACTCACCTAAGAAGCGTTCCAAGGCCTTTATGGCCTCCTGGTCTGTGACTATTTCTGATAAGACCGTGTGCTCCTGCACCAGTTTAAGAGTCTGTGCAGAGACCCTTGTCAGGCCTAGTGTGGTGGCAACACTGGAAAAACAAAACTGCATTTAGCCGCAAACACCCACATGCAATGTATTGAGTGGACACCAATCGTAGCTGGTGTACCTGGTGATAGCAGGTAAAGTGACAAGCTCCCCTGCCTTCATGGCTGCATTAAGGCTATGAGCCCCGACGGTCTCCATGGCAACAATGGGCACGTCCGCCCAGCCGGCACGCCGCAGGCCCTCCACTACCCCATTGAGCAGCCCGCCGCCTCCCACCGACAGCACGATGGCGCCTGGCTTCTCTTTCATGTTTTGCTCCAGTTCCCGCACCAGAGATGTGTGGCCCTCCCTAGAAACGCAGCACAACATCGACGTCACTTCTACTACAGGAACATTAGCTCGGCATGCATTGGCGAGAGCATTCATAGGTTAGCTCGTTGTCTTTGATTCTTGGCCTGTGTAAAGCGGTCATAACAGAATGTTTACTGGACCTTAGAAACGGATTAGTTATACTTTGTGTGAAATCTGTTCCTGTTTATCTGAACACACAGCTATTATTCTGCTGCAGAAATGGATCCACAAGTTTATTGTAACTTCTTCCATCTCGTGGAAGAGCTTTTGACTGTTCTGCCTGGCT